ATATATATATATATATATATATATATATATATATATCCCAGTTTTACGTCGGGCTAAGGGATATAAATACTTTTGTATTAATAACAACATTAAAACTCTTTCGTTTTCATAGAATGTCTTTGGTAAAGAATAGGTGTAGAAATTCTATTTTGGGACTTCAAGGATGAAAACATACCTTTGAATTATAATTAGATCTATATTTCAAAGGAGGAGTAATTTTTAGAAACACGACCCTCTTTCACTTCCATATTAGGAAGCATTAAATGATTATCGATGATGCTTAGAGTTTCAAGGTATGTACAATTTGAGCCTATTTACCTTTTTTTTCATTAGTATATAGTGCAGGAGCAATTGTTTTTGCGTGTCTTTTGCTGTACGATGTTGCCAATCTAACTTTCGCCGCTACTGTCTTGATATTATTCAGCTGGGAGCTGATATTATCCTTTTGGGTGAGGCTTCTGTTTACACCATACTCCAGTAATAAAGCCTCTTACAATCTATCGGCTTATGTTTTCTACTATGTAAATTAAGACACTACCGAAAAAAAATAACGGGGTTGTTACCCTGTTATTACATATATATATACATATTTAAATGAATTCTATTCTTCCTTATTTATGTATAAAAATGTTAACTAAACACCTAATAATTAAAATAAATAAATGATAAAAATGAATAAATGCATCAAGGCGTCTTAGAGGAATGAAAAATAATTTTTGACATTAGTTAATTTGATACCTGCTCTATGAAAAAAATATTATAAATATAAAATAACAGATGACCGTTTTCCTCAAAAATTAAGTTTAGTTCTCTAAGCCTCTATAATTCTAAAGTGACATCAACTAATATTCCTTAAAAAATATTGCTGAAGGTAAAAGTTAGCCAATTCCTTCAAAGTTAACGGCATGCTTTATAAAAAGCAGCTTTTCTTTTGTCGCAAGTTCCGTGCAAAGTTACAAAATTAAAGTTTCCGGAAGTCGTTTATTTTATTTCCTTAGAATACTTTCTATCAAAGGCTTTTGCTTCAGGATCTACTGTGCTGCTTTGTTTTTTTCTTGAAACGCTGGGATTTGTTGAAAGTTTTTCCCCCAAATAATTAATGAATAAAAAAATTACTTCATGAAGAAGAATAGAAAGTAAAACATATTTTCACTCCACAGCAGCTAGAAAATTGTTTTTTAATTTGTTTAATAAAGCTCATTTTATCGTTGTTAAAAAACTTTATTTACTTTTAATATTTTTTTTTCGTTTAATGAAGAGAAAAGTTTTAAAAAAAGTACCCAACACTTAAACAAATAATATAAATTAAAATAAAATAAAGTTCCAGCATTTTTGTAAGAAATATTTCCTTGTGTTACATTTTTCCTTGGAAATAATAAAAATGTTTAAACTGTTAAAAAAATCCTTTTTAACAGTTTAAACAAATAATAATGTTATTTAAAATTTTTATTCAAAAAAATAAAAATTTCATTTAAAATTTTTATTTAAAAATAAAATTTTAAGTAAAATTTTTTATTTAAAAATAAAATTTTATATAAAAATTTTATTTAGCCATATATACTACTGAAAAAAGTATTTTAATGAATAATCAGTACCAAGTTGAAAAAAAAAATATTTATAACTTATTTTCTAAATTTAGCATAATTTGATAGAACATTTATATTCAGTGTCTTTTGCTTATATTTTTCTTACAAAAGGATTAAAAAATAAGTTAATGCATCTATAATAATAAAATCACGACTTCGTTCTTGTGTCTCTTACAAGTTCAGAACTGTTTGTTCTATAGACCTGAAAGTGGGACAGTGTGTAAAAAATGTAGCCCTTTATTCTAAGAATTGTACAAAAATTTCGATTGGATCGTGCATGAGAGACATTTAAAAATGGAATTTCTTCCATGGTTTAGAACTATTGCCATTGATTTAAATGAAACTGCAGATGATTTTAAGGATAGTGTCCATGATTTTTACTTGCTTATAGATCTCATTAATCAATAAAAGAGTATATTGCAAATTCTTAGTATTTAATTACTTTTTATGTCATAAAAACTCAATGATGAACGAGAACGTAATATAAACTAACAACGTCACCAAATTAGTATTCCCTAAGTTATATGAAATAACGTGTTTATTTTTTTGATATATAATTAGGCTTTTAAAATTTGAAGTTCAAAAATAAGTTATGAACGGAAAAGAAATATTAATGCAGAAATAGAGCTAAATCATTTAGGAGAAAGGTATAAAAAAACACCATCGTATTAGTGGCGCTAATGATGCTTGATTATTTTTGGTAACAAATTACTAATTGGAATAAATAAATAAACTACATACTTAAGGGAAAAAATTAATGACGAAATTATACTAACTGATTTCGGAGATGCAAAGTTAATCCTTGAAATATTATTGATGCCTTTGAGGCTTAAGTAATTTTGTTAATAAGTGCTAACTAGAAGAATAATAAAAAAACTATTGACTAAATCGTAAAATACTGGTAAAATAATACTAACTGGCTTAAGAGAAAACTTAAAAATCGCCATCCTATAATTAATTTCAATGATGCTTAATTAATTTTGATAATAGGTAGTAGTTGAATTTTTTTTAAAAACAATAGGCTATATACTTCAAAGCAAAATTGATGGAAAGTTGAAATTAAGTCGTTCAAGAGGAACATAAAAAATATCACAATACCATTATTAACACCGTCGGTGCCTCATTAATTTTTTAATAAGCACTTTTGGTATCATGGTAATGGATGCAATTTTAACTAATTCCAAATATACTAATGTGAGTAAAATTAATATATTTGGTACCTTTTAAAACTGCATTGATACTATGCAGTTTTATCATAGATTATGCAGAAAGAGGTGTTTTACGACCTTCAAAAGGTTATCTCAATCATGAGTTGACCTCGAGTAATAATATCATTCCAACAGATACCGAATACAGTTATTATTATTTTGATGGGATGAACTACTAAAATGGTTAATTTAATTACGTTAAGTCACCGTCAAAGGCAAAAATTATTAAACAAAAACAATTGGAATTATTTTAGCTATATTCACTGAATTGGAACTTTAATATTAAGGCATGGTTTAGTATGATTGGCACGTTGTTCAGCACTGATTTAGTGATATTTTAAATTTCTTACCCCATACGCACAATAGGTATTCAGATCGCCTATAAAAATATAAAATTAAAAATCACGTAAATAACTTTTAGGTTCAAAGCAGTCTTCGGTGTTTCGGTACCAAGAATCTACTTCTATTGCCAATATAAAAGAAAATCCGACAACCATTTTACTTAAAGTTGAAGATTAAATTTGTTGGCGATGACATTTTATAAAATTAAATAAATAATTCGAAAGAAAAAAGAATATTAAAATAAAATTTCGGTATCATCGCAATAGATATATTCTTTTATACACTTCATTCCTTAAAAATACGAAAAAATAGCAACGATATCAATAATAGCGATTTTCAAACAATGATATTTTGAAGAAAAAAGTACTGCAGTAAAAGAAAGAGGAGCAAAAATTAAAAAAAAAAATTTTTTTTCTATTTTTTTTTCGTTTACATAAATTGATATGTATATTCTCAGTGCCTCTTGCTTTCCTTTTTCTGATTTTTAAAACAAAGTTTTAAAAATAAAATCTATTTAAGATAAATAAAAAAAGAACATCAAAATAACCTTAAAAGTCTAAAAAAGGCTTTTGTGCTTTGCTTTAAATTTCTGCAAGCAATATGAGTAAGAATGAAAACACTGAAAAACATTTTATTCTAAGTTTAGGTATAATTAAATTAACTATCACGCGTCTAATGCGACACAAACTAATATTTCTTTAAAAAAATATTGTTGAAGGTTAAAATTTAACCAATTCTTTCAAATTTAACAACACGCTTTATAAAAAATTGCTATTCTTTTGTCGTAACTTATGTGCAAAGACTCCGGAAGTCATTTATTTTATTTCCCTAAAATACTTTATATCGAAGACTTTTACTCCAGAATCAGCTAACATTGTTTTATTTTCTCAGGAATTCTGGGGTTTGTTTCCCCCCCTAAAATAATTAATGTTTAAGAAAAATTTACTTTGTAAAAAAAAAAGAAACTCATACATATTTTCACACCACAGCAGAAAGAAAATTGTTCGTTAATTAGTTCAACAAAGCTTACTATATTCTTGTTAAAAAGAGTTACTAAATTTTTAAGGGGAATTCTTTCAGACTTAATGAGGGAAAAAGTTGAAAAGAAAATTACAAAATTGCTTAAAAAAAGTCAAGTACCAGCAAATTTGCTACAAATGTTTTTTGTAAGATTTGTTCCTTTAAAAGAAAAGAAAAAAAAACAAAAACGAACAGATAATTGATTTATTAAAAATACATAGAACTATTTAAGTTTAAAAAATTATAATGAATTAATAAATAATTACCATTTAATTTTAATATTATTAATATTGCCATGAAATTGTTTTACTTTAAAATATATAAAATATTTATTTAAGTTCTTTAAACTTCATTTTAATTTGCGTATATCATGTTTTTAATAAATTATATGTAAGTAATTGCAGTTTTTAATTATATATTTAAATAACTTTAAGTTAATATATTTCCATTATTTCAAGTTTATATTTCGCATTAAATAAGAATTTTAATTACATTTCTATGTAAACTTAAGTTAAACATTAATTACTCCGCAAAATGATGTTGATAGCACATACTGCAAAAAAGGGTTTCTCAAAATTGAGCCAAAATAGCTCAGAATTAAATAATACTCGAACTTGAAACTGCACGTACGCAAATTTAAGTACAATTCATAGCCTTAAGAGTGAGGTGGCAAAAGGAGAGCGTGATAGAAATGTTCACTGACTAGCTGCAGGATTCGAACCAAGGACCTCTGACATCGTTGCAAGATGCTCTGAAATCGGTAGTTCTAATCCCCAATCCAAGGAGAGTTAGCAAGCTTTATACAGTGGCAACCGCAATGACAGCCTATACGAATTTCCGATTTCAAGTATAAAAGGGGTTGCGATTTGGAAAAAATAACTTAGCCAGGAGATCGAAGACTTTAGTTTCACTTTTTACTAATTTCGCTAGATCTTAAAAAACTCTTGAGCGATTAGAATGTCGCGACATTATAAAAAAACATCCTAAAAGTTCCTTGAGTAGGGTGTGTGCCAGGGTGGTTGCAATTAAGGTGGTTGCATCCTACTAGGTCCCAGGTTCGAATTCCACCTGCAACTACCGAGCATCTCTTTTACGCAATTCTCCTTTCACGTCACTTTTGAGACTGAGCATTTTGCTCAAAAATTAGTAAATGCTGTTTCAATTATAAATACATGAGTTGTCCAATGCGACTTTATAGTCATTTTGACACATTTTTGCTCAATTTTGTGAAGTCCTTTTACAACTTGCAGTGATTAAGGCACTAACTAATGGTTTACAATCTATGTTCTAACCTCTGTGGAGGTTTAAAGTTTACCTAACTTAAGATCAATGTTTTCAATCTCATTACCTAGAAATTAAGTATGGCCGGTGCGCAATGTTGACCGCATTGCTAAAATCACGCCGATGGTCTCGGAGACCTATCCTGTGTTGTAGGAGGGCTTTCCTTTTGATTTTTAACACAAAATATGATTTATTTTGACGTAGTTGTCAACTACTAGATTTTTCTGTTCTATTGGATTTCACTAATATCTTGCGATTTTTGCATGCTCGAAAAAAGTCCCATAAACTTGAAAGGCTTCTAAATATATCCCTCTCAAACAAATTTTACTCACCTTTTGCTGGTGTTTCAGAATTTAACCAGAATTAGAATTAAAGTCAGCCTTAGTAAAATCAGACTAAAGCTTTATATATTCAGTTGAAAGTACTTTGTTTTAAAAAAAATTCTAAAAATCGCAGTTATTTTTACAGTGATCAGGTCAGTTGTTTCAGTTAACTAAATAGTCACCATTCGAATCCATGATGAAATCCATTTGCAGTGTGGAAGCTCTAGTTGACTTGAAACGGGCAAATGTTTCAAAACCGTGATACCACTTAAAACGTGGAAGCACATTGTCATACAAATAAGATCATAAGATGTTTTTTTGAGATTACCAATAAATCGGAAGAAAGTTTTTAGTCAATACCAAGAGAGGCCATTCATATTAACAATCCAAATATATCCAAATCCAAATCCAATATCGAGTATCCAAATGCTCATTTGATGAGATAGTACTAATTGTTCGTTAAATATTTGAACAATGTCTAAGAAAAGACTTGCGTTAAACTATTTTTTTAAACTTTTAATCAAAAAAAGTTTGTTTTTGAAAAAATTAGTGCATTTTTTTGTAGGGCAAGATCAGTATTTTCCGTAAAAATTTATAACAAGGAATAGAAATAAAAAGCCTAATTGAAGGATCATTGTCAGAACTTTAACCCCGGAAGCATTTTACATAAGCTTCCACACTAAACCCCATACCTTTTCATCCCAGGTGGTTTTAAAATCAGGCACAGTTTTAAATTCAGTCGTGACGTCATAGCAAAGATAAAGAAGCAAATTTTGCCTTTTATTAATGTTACAACATACTTTTCTTAGTTAAAAATGAATGTTATTGCAGAAAATGCATGTCACTACAAAAGTTTCATAAATACTTTAAACTAAAAACACATTGTTCTTTTTTAATTTATGTGGAATAATTGGATTACAATAATATTTTCATACATGCATTTAATAAGGCTTTTAAGAATTAAAAATCTGAAGAACAAGAATAATATTTTATTTATATTCCTGAACAACACAAAAAAGTTTTTCACCAAGAAAACATCTTTGAAACTAGCAATTGGAGTTATCATTTCTTCATAATTACTTCAAAATTCTTTTTTACAGTTGCCAACCAGAAATATGAAATTCGTTTGTCGGATGAGTTCGTCTTACGAGGTAATATGGCTCTTTTAAGATGTCCAATCCCAAGTTTCGTTAGTGACTACGTAAAAGTGGCTTCTTGGGAAAGAATAGATGGATTTCTCATTACTCCTGGAATCATTAGCGGTAAGAGACTTAATATTTCCTTTCTTCATACGGACTACTTTTCATTACTTTTTTTCTGGTCCAATCTCTACAGCTTCTTTGAAATTCGAAACAAAATGCTAAGCCTCGTGGAAAGTTAATGGTTCTTTTGAGTTCATATGAAATAATATTATTTTAAGAAGGATTTATTCAGAATAGAGTTTGATTTTTTTTCTGAATTTAATTCTAAAATGTTTGCAGTAAGAAAATAAATTATTATTAAAATGTGTAGTGTTTAAAACATTTAACTGCTAATTTTCAATGTAAATAAATAGATAGTTTTACTTTTAAACAGATTGTTTTATATTTGCTTATACAGAATTTGTTGACGAATTTTTTAGCTAATAAGTGGATTCTGCATATTGTTTCTTTATTTATTCATTAAATTTTAATTTTCTAAGAGTTTGAGCGACACTTTTTAATTCTTTAACAATTCCAATTTTGTTTACCAAACACAATAAAAAAATCAGGATGAAAAGACAAAAAAAAGTAAGATTTCAAAAACAGTACGATTTTAATAGCAAAATTTTTTTACCGTAAAATTTTATGGAACAAGGAATCTAATATACGTAACTTTTACAGACGTTTACTATAAAATCAATATAATTAAGTAAATATTACTGTGAAAATTACAGAATAAATTTTACCGTAAAAATTTGTTTTACAGATGCTACAGGCTATGCTTTTAAATGTAAACTAATTCGGAATCTCTTATAGTGGAGATGCATGTCAATTTTTCTTGGAAAATAAATCTCCTTAATAAGATTAGTTAATTAGATTAAATGTATTTAATTAATAATAGCCTATTAATGTACAAACGATAATTTGAATGTGCTTTATCACTTCACTAACGGGAAGACAATGTTTTTACATTTTTTTTTCATAGTTTTATCTAACATTTACGTGCATTGTTTTAGAACTATCAGCTTTATACTCCACTCCTAAAAGTATTATTCTTATGAAAAAAATAACCTGATTTTTTTCAGAAACAAACTTGTGATCCACTGTTCGTAAATAGCATAATTTATTTAACACTGTCTGTGTAGATAGTAATTTACCACGGAGAGAAAAATCTTTTTGATATTTGCATGTTTCTTAACACTAGAAAGACGGTTGAGGCCTTTCCCGCTACTGTCGTTTTTTTCCCCGTAAATTAAAAAACAAACAATAATATACTAAAAGTTTGATAGTTTCTGACTGTTCATAATTTAATTCAATTTAAGTGCCCAGTTAATTATTCAAGTGTTCGCCTTATAAGAACGTATATATAGAATCATATACCTAGAATGACGGAGAGGGCAGAAAGACTCCTAAAGTATTTTGGTAGGTACCCCAGGTAAATTTGGGCAAAAGGAAATCTATAGGTTATATGGTATACTCCTGTCTCCTTAAAAACAGAGAATTCCAAAATATATTCAATTATTTTTTTCATAGTTAAAAGAAAACTCAATAATCCAAGAATCTAATGCATAAGAATAGAGGGAAAGTTAGTGTTCCGTTTAGTCAAATATTTTCGTTAATCAGATTGACTGAAATGCCTCAAAACTTTGATGACCGATTCATAATATATATCCTGTGAAATGATTAGGATAATATATTATGATTTTAGATGCCAGATTGATAAATTGTCAGACAGTCTGGGAAGGGTCAGACTGGCCCCTTTAGATTCCCCAAGAATACAACAATGTTTAGTTTTTCTAGCATTAAAGCTAAATATCAAAAGATTTCTAAAACATTTTGTTTTAGAAATGCTTGTTTTATGTAATTTTATTTTATATACACTATCCAACAATAATGGAAGAGACACTTTCAGTTTTTGATATTTTGTTAAAATTTCTCAATAAATACTTAAAGGAATTTTTGTAACTTTAGAGATGTTTAGTCATGCGACTTTTCATACTTAGCAATAAAATTTATAGCTTTCGGAGGTTTGAGAGACATACAATAAATTAAAAAAGAAATCAAGTATTTTTGAACACGCTGTGCCAGGAAATCAAGTAATAAGCTTGTAACTTGTAAGATGACTTTAGTTGCTATTTTTAATAAATGCATAAAGGTTTGTAAGCCTATAGTAAATATTTACAGATATATGGACATTTTTGTAAAAGGCCTTAAGTTTTCACTTAACGTTTTTTGATTATAACTTTATAGATATTCAATAGAATTAAACAAAATATTTGAGCAAATTAATTAAAAAATTTTCGATTTGAAATTTTAAAAAATTCGTTGAAAACTGCGCAAGTTTATGAGTATTTAAGCTTGTTCTTTAACACTGCGCAAGTACCGAAGAAAATTTAAAAAGTTTTTTTCATAATTTTGTAGTGAATAGTATTTGGCAACTAATAAAAAAATTTGAATTTAATATCTTAAAAATTTAAAAAGTTTAATAAATTTTCTAAGAAGTTTTTTTAGTTTTAAAGGATGCCTCAAAACGATCAGGGATTATTCAGAAATTTCATTTTGAAATATTAGACAGAATTTAATAACATATGATAATACCTTACAATAATCATCATGCAAAAGAAAACATACTTTTATGCAGGTGATCCTCCACAAAGCCGGTCTCATTTTCAAAAATCTAGGTTAACAGTACAAGATGAAATTTGAAGATAACCCCTTATCGTTTTGAGTTTTATTTTAAAAGGTAAAAAACGGAAATGAATTAGAAAATTGCTTAACAATTCAAAATTTTAAGATATTCAAATAAAACTTTTATAATAAGTTGCCAAATACGATTCCTTCCAAAATTATGAAAAAACATTTTTAAATATTTTCTCCGTATGCACAGTATAAAATAACTAACTTAAATAATCATATCTTATGCAGTTTCAAAATTTGTTTTTTAAATTTTAAACCAACAATTTTGTAATTAATATTAAATTTTCAAAAAATTTTGTTCAATTCCATTGAATATTTATAAAGTTATAGTACAAAAACGTAAGACAAAACAATTAATTTTTTAATAAAAATATCCATATCTCCATAAATATTTATCTCCATAAATACTCTAGGTTTACGAAACTTACAGTTACTAAAAATAAGAACAAACGTAATCGATGCATCTTAGAAGTTTTTTGCTTGTTTTTCTGGGATAGGGTGTTCAAAAATACTTGTTTACTTCCGCAATTTATTGTAAGTCTTTCAAACCAATTAAAGCTTTATTGTCAAGTAAGAAACATCGCTTGAACTAAACTCCTCCAAAGTTGCAAAATAATCCTTTAAGTATTTCTTGAGGAATTTAAAAAAATGTCAAAAATTGAAAGTGTCTCTTCCATTATTGTAGAGTAGTATATAAACATATTTTAGAAATGTAAACATATTATACGTATTTGTTACATATATTTGCTTTATTCTGCCATCACATAATAATTATAATTTCATTACAGGGAAGTATGGAATGTTACAAAATGGTGATTTGTACATTCGTGATACTACAGAACATGATAGCGTATACACGTTCCGATGTCATGCGGAAAATATTGTAACAAGAGAGAAAAAAGTCAGCATGACTTATGCAAAAGTCATTGTGACTGGTAAGTTATTGCAGATTTTCTTAAAAAGGAAAGAAATGCCTTGCATAGATAAATATATGAAAAAATAGTTATCATTAATCAAATCACAATAAAAATACTCGAAATATAATATGATTTAATATCTAATCCTATCAGCATAAAAGAAATTATCTATATAAGTAATGTCACAAAATTATTTTCATTGTTGTCGTTGTTGAATTCTTATTGATAAGAGAACAACTTGGTTTGATCTAAGGCTACTATACTAGTTTAATCCAGTTTTCTCACTTGTAAATGCAAATTACTTTGGTCGTCATCAGTATGAAATTAATAAAAAAATTAAAATTATAGTTTACTGGAAAATAAATCTTGATCACCCAGTCCCAACCTAAATTAAGCCTTACCTATTGAAACGCAGAGCTATAAGCGATAAGCAGAGAGCTCGCCGCACTTAACTATACTCAATACTCAATAAATCTTGATCCCTAATTTAAATGCGTTTGTCGGTAATATTTATTGATCATACTTATAAGGGCTTGAAACTGAAAACGTTATTTCTTCATTAGAAAGGAATATAATGATATTACCTTAATATGCAATATTTTCTTCTAAACATCCTGAAAACTGAAATTTGTATTTAAATTTTTAAAAAGTTGTACTATTATTGAAAGTATACTCACTTTTATTATACTTTTTTTGTCATACTCCATCCAGTCAACATATACAATTAAAATAGTAAATTAAAAATTGTAAAATTTCATTATGGATTTATTTTTTATTCTGTTACTGGTAGTGTGTCAACCACTACAATTGTTAAAGACCAATTCACCGGCATGTAACATATGTTAACTAGTCTCTATCTCGGAGCTCCTTTTCATACATAAGGATTGACATTGTTTACTTTCTTACTTTATTTAACAAAAGCTGGGCACCTGGGCCGCGCAGAAGACCCATATCCCATTCTTCGTGAAATTACTGTAAAATTAAAAAGTAAAAGCAGTTTGTATACAGAGTCTCTGGGGTGACTGTTTGACATTGTTGATAAATACCTACCCCTTATTGGTGACCATCGGATATCATCTGACAACGCCTACCTCATCAGTAACTCCCACTTCTACTAAAACACGCCTACTTCGTTGGATGGCCTACATTGAGCAGTTGGCTTGTTATTTCCGACATTGTTTTCTTCGCGCTGTTGCTTCTCAGTATTGATCACACACAACGAAACCTGTCCACACTCGAGTGCTAATAGCAACGCAGGAGTGACCACGCACACAATCGAGATCTTTATACAGCTTTGAAGTACAGTATTCAAAATCCGGTGACCTCAATACAAGTCTCCCGACTTCTCGCGAAAGCAACAATGAATCAACTAAGTGGTATGGTATTCGTTCATCGAATTCTATCGCAAATAAAATTCTGGTGGAGGAGTTATGTAGCGTGTCTACCACTTCAGTTATTAAATTCCAGTTCACTAGTATATAAGACATGTTAACTCGTTTACTAGTGTTCCACTGCCTACAAGTATTCCTCTCATATGACTTCCACAGCTTTAGGCTGTGGTGAACTTTTACATATATTTCTTCTTGAAATTTATGCCTAATCAACTTAGGACTTTCCAGTTTCGATGAATCAGTTAGCAGTGCTTCGCGCCGAATACTGAGATACAGAACATTTCCAGCTTTCCAACTCGTTTATATTTCAGAGTACCTATAGATAGATGAAGGGCAACATTATCGATAACTCCTTCCCCACATTACTAAATTTCTTTAGCTAGAAACAACTATTTTTATTAATAATTAAACGACAAACGGAATTTTTCATTTTTTACAAAATGTCTGATAAAGAAAAGCTACATTGTGATTAGGTTTATATTTTATCCCAATAGTTTCGGGTACCAAACCTATGGAACCAAATATGTATTAGTTAAAGCACTTGTTAATTTTATGTTGGTGACAAACAAAGAAATTTTGATCTCTTCTTCCTTACTGAAAGATATCACTGGCAATGTGAATGCACAAAAAAAAATTAGAAATGGGTTAAGAAAATTAGCTTTATATGTTTGATGGAAATCATAATTTATTAAGTTATTTTTTTAAGAATATCATATGATATATTTTCTATAGAGTCTCTATATAAAATTTAATTCTTTTTTTCGCAATAGAGCCCCATCACAACCAACCACCGAGGATTATAACTCGTTCCAGCCGAGTATCAGTCCCCGTTGGCCAAAAAGCTACTCTCTCCTGTTTGGCACAAGGTCATCCCATACCAACATACAGATGGCATAAAGTGGCAGGAGAACTCAGATCAGTTCCAGAACTTGGCTCAACAGTTCGACAAGAGGGAGGAGTTTTGGTGTTCCATAAAGTTGTGTCTGCAGATGGAGGGACGTATATTTGTGAAGTAAGCAATAGTGTTGGGCAAGACAAAGTGGAAGCCGAATTAATAATTGAAGGTAATAAATTTTTATTAAGTTTTCGTTCTAACATACATAAACAGATTTATTTATTTTCATAAACTGAATAACAATTGAAGATTTTAGTAGGTGATGATTATAAGTTTAATTTTAAGGATTTTGGTTACATAGGCATTAAAGTTTACTCGTAAACCATGTCCTATTACTAAGCTGTCGTTGTTTGTTTTCTGTCCAAAAAAGCCCAAAATAACCTAAAAAGAATTTTCGCTGAGAAATGCTACCTAATTTCAGTGAAAGAGAGATTCAGTAAGGAGAGATATTATATAAACATTCCATTTTATAAAAACAGGAGAATTGAGTTAAATCTTGTCTGAAAGTTTTCAATTGACGAAATTCAGAAATATTTAACACTCATAAAAATTGATCACGTCATAGTACATATTCTTGGAGTTTTAAATTGCGAAAAAAAACATTCAACTGCATGTTGTCAATTTATATCAGAACCTTATTCCACTTCACAAAAGTCAAAAACAATCACTGAGTAATGTTGTTAATTAAGATTTCTGAATTAAAGTGATTTTTCAAAATAAATCAATGCTGAAAAATTAAACAAGACTGAAACAAGACCTTTTTGAAAAGAAAAAAAATCACTTTAGGAAAGATAAAGAAAGAAGTCTTAGTTTCCATAAGCAGAGGAGTATAAAGAATTGAATCTTCTTAAAATTGAAAAAAATTATATATTTTATGTCATTTTCTATACAAGAGATAATTGAAAAAGTTTGCAAAATTTAAGTTTATTCCCTGAAAATATAATAGAGAAAGGTTTATAATGATAAAAATTGAAATCATCTAAAAACAATTATCAAAATTTCGATTTAATTTTAGCGAATTTTGTTTTATCTTCGTTAGGCTTAACTTTTCTTTAGAGAATCTGCAACTAATTTTCAGTGCTACAAAAAGTCAGATGCAAAAATATAATCTCTCATTCTAAAAGTAGCTTTTTGATTAATAAAGAATTTGAATTTTAAAACAAGTGCAAAATATTCACTGATTACACTCTTAAAACATTACAAATTCAATAACATGATCAAAAATTAGATTTAAGCTATATTATTTTTATATCTTTAGCATGGATAACTTGTTGTGCAAATTGAAAACTTTTTTTTTCCAAATTAAAAATAATTTATCTCTACTAAAACTGGTTTGAAAATGAGATAATTATATATTCTCCCCACTGCTGAATAAATTAATTATCAAGAAAATTAAAAAAAGGAAAACAGAACTTTGGCATTTCGGCAATTCACGAGATGTAAAAAATTCTACAAAAGTTGGACAAATGAAAAGCATAGTCTCTTAAATGAATATAACCTATTTAAAAATATTTATTATAACTTCTTATGAAGTGTCTAAAATTTATATAATATATTATTTAATTTTATTTATTATATTATTATTATAATTAATTTATATTATAATTATAATAATATTATAATTATAATAATAAAATTATATAATAATATAATAATATAATTATTATATAATTATATAATTTATTATAATTAAAAAATAAAAAAATTAAACTAATACTCTCCAAACAATTATTAATTTACTTTTACTTTGAGTTAAACTTTGAGGCTCATCTTAATATAAAGGTATTCGCATATTAATAATTTAATTTCTTTTTTACAATAAAAAAAATGACAGTATCTATCGGTTCACATTTGTATGCTTAACATCACAGGAACAAAAATAGAGCTAAAACATTTAAAAACGTGCGTTTTTGTCTCATAGGATATTAGAAAACTTAAAGAAACATTTGATTAATTATACAGTAACGTTATAAAATTCATACAACTTTAAAGATAATGTTAAAAGATAATACATAAAATGTATTTTCTGTCTAAAATGTAAATATTAAAGTAAAAAAAACAAACAGATACTTTCTCCGAATAAACATTCCTTTCTGCTGGATGAACGCTTAGAATACTTACAGGGCCCAAAGTAAGCATTCGCCACCTCGACAAATGGGAAAAAAATCGTAAACTTGGCGATTAAAATTGTGCTTTGGTGAAAGCATTGGCGAATGATTTAGAAGAATAATTAACTTTAATAAATAATACTTTACTAGAATAAATTAACTTTACTAGAAGTTACCTTCTAGTAAAGTTAATTTTTTTGCCTTCAAAATGTTTTAAGAAATTGATTAAAGAATAATAGCTATTGAGAAAAATAATCCGCAAAATTATTCTGAGGAAATATGAATTTGATAAACTTTAAATTAATAAATTTAAAAATTAATTAAGTTTGGGCATTTATATAAACATTCAAATTCATAAAATAAAGTTACTTTCATATTAGATATTTTACTACGTTTCGTTAGCACCGTCTCCAACAAAATTGGAAAAAAAAATATATCTATCAACTCATATTATTCAAAATATTGCAGGAAAAATAAGAGAACTAAAAAGTAGGCAGAAATCCAAACGAAGATAAAATTCCAACAAAATTTGTGACTTTCGGGTTATTGGAAGATCTATAAAAGAAACAAAATGCCGTAGACAGACGTAAAAAATGACGTAGCCATATTGCTACTTGAGTCAGATTTTCATTTCGAGAGAAAAGGAATACCTTATAGCTTTCAACAAGAGGCGGCTACAGAGAAGGAAAAAAAAATGCCTTCCCTTTTTATATAAATTTATGACCACAAATATATAGGAGCTGAAATTGAAAACATGTTGCATGTTTTTGCTTGGAATGTAAAAATTGGTTTGAAAAACATGTCTATGCTCGCATTGAGGTTCAGTATTGGATGAATTTAACGACCATAAATGCTTTCTTCTCCTAAGGAGATAAAACGTAGATAAGTAGGCCGAACGATGGTATTTTTTTTCCCTATTCGTGTTAGGGGAAGGAAAAAACTTATCGACTCTATCCGTTTTTCATATCTACCCAAAGTTTGCAACTCTTTTTTTCTCCTTTGCTATGTTTGCAATTTATATTTTTCTTAGGTAGCCGTATTGACTTTTTATTGGAAAGGTTTTCCTCGGTATGCATTCGCCAACTGATAAAACTATGTTATCTTTCTTTTTTTTCCAATTTTTATATTCTTTGAAGTGAGCCCTCGGAATTCTGTATTCCTGTTTTATTTCTGTTTATGATGTTGAACGCAAGATCTGATATTTGAGCTTGTAAACTAAAACATATTTTTACTACATTTTTTTTTTATATTGATCGAAACTGTCTGAGTTGCTTTAGTTTTCTATTTACCAATACTAATTTAATTTAGAAAAAGAGTTTTTACCCAAGCTTCAGTCATTCTAAAAACATCGCAGCAAAACTAAATAAGAATCCATTCTTGCATGTGACACTAAATAATAAGACTAAAATATACATCTCTCACGAAACTAAAACAACAAAGCGACAAGAAATGTAAATAATTTCGTAGTTTTCAGAATAACTTTATGTTTTTTTTTTTTTTGATCATTTTAATTTTCATGTGCACTTATTTAAAAATATATGAAAAAAAGAACATTTTCGCTATAATTAAATGAATTAAATAGTTAATTAAAAAACTGTTTTTTATTCATATTTTCTGGTTCTTTTATTTAACATTTTTGTGTAAATCCAGACATTTGGAAACCAGTGAAATGTATTATTTAACTACTTTTATTAATCACTAAGTTTTAGAAAATGCTGCACTAGCTCCATGTATGGGCTTATGTGGACAAAAACAACCGTTTTTTAAAGAAAAATATCACAATTAGATTTAAATTAGAGAAAATAAACGCAACTTAGATTTAAGTAAAAATGCAATAAAACGTTACTGTAAAAAACGCACTTCACGAGTAAAAAATTATATTTAACACAGTTTTTTTTTGTTGATAAATTTGTAAAAAAATGTCCATACCAGTCTTTTTTTCCTCTACTCAGAGATAATTAAGGTAAAAATACATTATCAGAATTAAAAAAAATAATACATTCAAATTGAGATTAAGATACCGAACATATATAAAGCGTGAAAGACAAAATATTCTACAGTTTACTAACCAGAGACTCGGATGATGATGAGTAAAGTTGTGCTGCCATCTAAGTTTGCTAGAGAGTGTTAAATCTTTTTGCAATACAGATTCACCAATTGATGATTGCATAAGTACATTTATCCTTCATTACAAAATCTATATAAGTAATTAACAAACGAAATTGCATTAATATCCGTTGTTTAAACATTATTATAAGGAAACATTGTTTCAAATTAAATAATCAAAATTCATATCATATATAAATAGAGGAATTTCCATTAAAATGCATAAACACACTTTTCTTTAAGAAACTGATACATTTTTTGACAAGAAACTGTTGCATCTATGATATGCAGCGTTACGCACTTTTTCACATACTGCTATTAGATGTTTACTGCTTTTAGTACTGTAGCATTGCAATAAAATTTATTATCACTTTATTTCATTTCCGAGAAATATTCTTCTTTGGACCAAATAGAATTTAACGCCTTAACTCAGTTGATGTTCGTCAATTTAAGATAAAGAATTAGCTATTGAAGACTTAAATAGGAGATTTAACTTTCTTCTCCTAAATGACTCTCCTTGTGGTTTCGGTCTGGTGATTGTAGATCATCTATCTTGAGACCGGGCATTATCTCCGTCATTCCACATCGAAGAAACTTACGCTACTTTTCTAACTCAAACTACTCTCTTAAGTAATTTATTATGTAGGATCTTTTTGCCGGTCTGTAGTTTTTAAATCTTAAAGCTTAATATTTTATCAATTTTCAAAAGTTTTGTATTTAGAGTTACTGAAGATCTAAATTATGGCATGCAGGATAATACTTAGCGAAAATTTTCATCGTTCGTTAAAAAACCTCTAGCTTTTCTTCTTTCAAACTAAGAAGTAAGTTATGTCTTAACTTCATTCAATTTCCATTATATATTTGACTTCCTTAATGTAATAAAAAGAAAATTATTGTATTCAATATCATATATTGTAAGACAGTAAAAGGTTAATTTTATCAAAACTATATTATATCATATTAGATATGCTTAAGATTTTATATTAATTATACCAAAACATTATTTTGCATTGCATATTATGCATAATATAATTTTCTTCATAAAATTGTAATTGGGAATTTTTTTCCAAGCCGATTTTGTCCCGAAATGAACTAATTGTAAAGACGCGGCTCCCAGTAGAACACCGAAGTCAATCATCATTGGTTGCGGTCAGTAAGCGGGTGGTTGACCACTTTGATCAGCCAGCGCAGGGACAGAGGAAGCGCGGTATCGTTAAACTACTCTACCGTAAAGGGCTCGACTGCGCACGCAGGTTGTTGGGCTACCAAAGTAGGGGAGCCGTTCTATAGAGGATCAAAATTGCGATAGCGTGTCTTCAGATCCTCCTCAGAGATGTTTCCCAAACAGTCGCCAAAAGCCCATTGCGCAGCTCTAGTGTTACGTAAATAAAGTACATACCAAAGTTTATTTTCGACCTTATCCTAAGAAATTCCTTAAGAGCTATAATAACAAAAAAATCGCTGAAAACACATAACAACTTATCCACAAGAATATGGCCAATTCGATTCTTTTCCTTTTCAATATTGAAGCATTCTCCTTAGCAGGAAACAAAATTTTTCTAGTCAAAACTTTATTGAAATTTATCTCAAGAATATCTTAATGTCACCAGGGAACAGCTACAGTCTTACATATAAGCGTATTAAACAGGAAATAACACAAATTCTTGAAGCCAAACTGAAACCATTGAAGGAAAATGTCCAGAGTTTGATGATATCAGTGGGTATCAACTGCAAACTCAAAACTAATAGTTCACAAATTGCGTTGTATAATAATTGAAAAAAAAACTCATATTTTAACTTTCAGCTGTATTTTCTTGCATTGATGTTTAAGATGATGAAACATTTATATCGCACGCAGATTCTTCCACAGGAATTTTGGCCCATTCTTTTTCTTCTTCATTCAACTGAAGCGTGCTCCTAGCAGGGAAAAAAATCTTTTCATGTCAACCTTCTTGCGAAACTCATTGCCGAATTATTCGAGTTTTATAGGAAAACAGCTGCTGTTATATATAAGCATATTTCTCAAGCAATAGCACAACTTATACAAAACCAAACTGTAATATGTGAAAAGAAATTTTCAGAGTTTGGTGAAGTCAGTACATATACTACCGTTGTTATCACATTCAACATATTGCTCACAAATTGTTTTGCATAATTTTTGCATTAAAAATATAGATTTTAACTATCAACAAGTTTTATTCTTATATAAATGTTCGATATTATTGACTTTTTAAAGCTCACACAGACGATTTATTTAAAAGAATAGTATCTTAAATTAATTAAATTTATTGTTTTTATATGATTACTTTCTTTTCAGAGCCTCTTCGAGTTAGTTTATTTCCTCCAGAGCAAATATTAGATGTTGGTAAGACGGCAAACTTCAACTGTTCAATTCAGGGACATCCATTCAGTGCCGTAGTTTGGCGAAAGGATATGAAATCCTTACCAAATAATCAAAGAATCATATTTCCAACACCTACGTCATTACAAATAAGGCAAGTAAGAAGACCTGATTCTGGAATTTACCAGTGTTTTGTTAGCCGAGAAGAGGTTTCAGAGCAAGCTAGTTCAAGACTTATTATTGGAGGTGCGTAGAAATTGGAATTAATATTAATTGTTTTTAATTAAGTTTCATTGAAGTACGTAGAGCACATAATATAAGACAGAAACTCAAAGGATGCAAGAAAGAAACTTAAAAAAAAATTAAAAAAAGAAGAACAGTTATTAAAAAAATGACAAAAACTTGAATTTTTTAAAAAACTTTTAAAATAAATGTATTGTTAAAAAATAAGAAAATTTGACATTGAAAATTTATCCTTTCATCATCAGCTCACACGATTATATCAGTAAAAATAGTGCTCTGTAATATAATATTAATACAACAAAGTCAAATTATATCAATACTTTAATCAAATTAATCAATTATGTATGACTTTGTATGTCATGACGTCATCTATGACTTGCAAATATGATTTGAAAATATTTCCATAACTAAGTTGACAAATAACAAAAATGACGTTAAAAAGTAATATAAGGTAGCAGAATATATTTTTTAAGCACATTGTCATTTATGTTAAGAACAACATCCGATTTTTCTGATGTATTGGATTAGCTCGTAGGGTGTATTTGCTCAAATCCAGTTTAGTCAGTATTCTAGCTACGTAGCATAGACATTCTAACATATTTATTTCAAAAATGAAAATTTTTAGTGAAATTCTAATTCTAGACACGAAAAAAGTAACATGTAACAGTCCTTTTGAAATGAGCATCAATTGAAAAAAAATACAAATTTAGATAAGACAATATTGAAAATATGAGGTGTAAAAATTTATAGCGAGAAATGATAGCTGATATATACCTCATTTTTTTAAGTTTCCCAATTATGTATTGTAACCTGATTACGGTTAATGATAATCTTTGTATCTTTATTCTTCAATCTTGGTAACGCAATGTAATATTTTTTTCTTTTTCTTTTTGTAATTCTATGATTAGGAGATTTTAAATGAAAAAAAATGTTCACTATATTCCTATTTTCAAAAGGAAAATAAAATAAAAAAATTATGTTTATATTTTGAAAATAAAATAAATCGGAAATCATTATGGATAACACATATTAATAATGAATTATGGACCATAAAATCATGTTACATGTTTAAAGAATATGAGAAAATATGATTTTATGAAGAAAACAGTTAATAATAATAATTTTGTGAACGGTTTAAAGTTTTTAGCTATATAACTGCTAAATAATTACATTGAATATTTAAAAGTTTTGAATTGTGTTGAATCTTAACATTGCCCATTGTTGGTAAAACTAGAATAGCCAAGTTGAACCATTCTAACATGTAAACAATATTTCTTTGAACTCTATTAAGTATATTATATTTTACCACTTGATATTAAACGCTTCTTTTTTTAAACTTAAAACCTTATTGAGTTTAGGAGAACAAATTTGCATTATATTATAGCACAAATTACGGATATAATAGTTTAAGGTTATTTATTTACAAATGCCAGACGTTTAGCAACTAACACATTAGCCTCATTTAATTAATAATAGTTTAAGCTAAAACAAGGTTCTTTAGTTGTTATAAACGGCAATGGTATTTGAGTTTCAGTTTTGTAGTAAGGTTTGCAATCTCGTAGTTAAAAATGAATATACACACACACACACATATATATATATATATATATATATA